AAGCCCCCCCCCCCCCCTTGGCGCCGCTCGAGCTGCGGCCTGGTGGACCCCCACGACGGGTCTTCAACACGCCTGCAGCTGTGAACGGCGTCTCTTCCCACCTGAAAGCTGTGAACAGGTCGACCCTACGACGGGTTGCCCCGAGGGGTGCACGAGAGCGCACGTCCACCTGCCGACGCGGGTCAAGGGTCCCCCCTAACCCTCGGGGGGGGGGGGCGCCCTCCCCTGAACCGTCCCTGGACCTTCCCGTAGGCGCGTCACGCTGCCCGCCGCCGCGTGGGGCGCGCGGTCGGCATTCGTCGTCGGCCGCGGCGCGGCGGCCGACGTGCGGGTCGACATGTCCAGGACGCGTCCCGGACATGTCCGCGACATGTCTCCCGTAGGCGCCGCGGCCGACGTGCAGATCGACTCGGTCGCCTTCCCGGCGATGGTGTCGCGCAAGCACTGCCGCCTCCGGCGCGACGCCGACGGCGCCTTCTTCGTGGACGACCTCGGCGCGGCCAACGGCACCACCCTCAACGGCCGCCGCGTGCGGCAGCGCACCGGCTCGCACGGCGGCGCGGCGGCGGGCGGCGCGCGGCTGGCGGACGGCGACACGCTACTGCTCGGCGCGTGCGACGGCGAGACGCGCTCCGAGGCGTGCTACTGCGTGCTGCTCGCCGAGTAGCGTGAGACTGGGCGGGCGGACCCAAGCTGCAGAACATGTGCGAACCAGTGCCTATGACGCTCAAGGAGTAGGCGCGGAGCGCCGCGCGCGGAGCGCGCCCCGAAGAAAATTTTGAGGGTTGTGGAGGGCTAGATGCGATTTCTATTAAGAGTTTGACTCACACGCTAGGAACCAATCGGCCCACCCACAGGCCCAATCTCGAGTGGCGGCGCTCCGCGCCTACCCATGCAGCGGCGCGCTCCGCGCGTGTTCTGCAGCGGCGCGCTCCGCGCGTGTCTCTGGGCGCTACATGCCCATCCTGAGCAGATCTAAGATGTCGCCGGCATCGACAAAGCCGCCTGGGAGCTGTGCCGCAGCCGCGCGCACGTCGCTCTCATGCTTGATCGTCAGACTGTGCTCTTGCATCCGCTCGAGCTGCTCCGCTGTCGGGAGAAGTGGTTTGCGGCACCTGCTTCCCGCCGCCGCCCCCCGCCGCCGCCGCCCCCCCCGCCGCCCCTCCCGCCGCACCCTCCCGCCGCCCCGCCCCCTGCCGCTGCCGCCGATTCCCTCGGCCAGTTTGACGATGACAACTACGACCCGGGGCAGACGTATGATGTCGCCCCCGCCGCTGCCAGCCCTGCTGCTGGCCCCGCTGCTCCCAGCCCTGCTACCGACGGCGGCGGCGGTGGCGCTGATCCAGCTGTCGATGACATGCCGGCATTTAGTGTTGTCTGGAGAGAGTTCGTCATGCTGTCTAAGCTGCTCACCGAGTGGGCACCTCGGCCAGGCTTTCAATCCTGGAACCGCGCGACCAGCAGCACCGTCATCATGAAAACTGTATTCACCGACGCCCGCTTCTACTCTTGCTGCAAAAACTACCTCTACCTCTGGACGCACATGGCTACAAAGTCAATGTGTGAGGCTGTTGTGGAGGGCATGGGCGGTGTGTGGGACCGCTGCGACCGCCAGGGCAACTGGGTCACTGCAACTGAGGAGGCTGTGATCGCGTGGAACGCGCCCCAGCCGTACCATCCCGTCGCCGTGCCCTTCATCAACCGTGCGCTCGAGAACTGGGGCGGGCTCAACTGGGAAGACCGCTTTCACCACAACGACAGGTCACGTGCACAGAGGGGCGGCATTGGAGCTTCGCTGCAGCGGGGTCTGGTCATGACGGTCGCGGAAGAAGGCAGAGACACAGCGTCTGCCAGCCGAGTGCTACGACGTCAGGCCGAAGCCGCGTGGCCACAACTGACTGCAACAGACTGTCTTCATGTGTCTAGACTCTACCGCGGTGCGCTCCGCGCACATAGGTGCCAGCGCGCTCCGCGCGGTATCTAGCCAGCGCGCTCCGCGCGTGTGTGTCTAGGCATGTGTCTAGCTAGCGCGCTCCGCGCGTGCGGTGTCCAGCTAGCGCGCTCCGCGCGTGTCCGGGTAGAGCACCGGCGCGCTCCGCGCGCATGAGAATCCAGTGCTTATGCTCATAAGCACTAAAAGCTCGTTTCTGCAGCTTGGGGGCGGACACACTCTCTAGTCAACATTCCACACTACCACGCGCCATGCGTCAACCTGTCTGGTGCCGTCTGGCGAGGGGGAGTGCGGCGAGACTTGTCGTGCGTTTAAAAAAAGAAAATGATTAAAAAAAGAAAATGATCTGCGCGGCGGGCACCCCGCGCCCGCGCGTCGGCCCGACGGCACCCGGCTCGCTACACTGCCGAGGGCGGGCCGTGGGCGTGGGGCTGGCTCGGGGTAAATGCCCTACTCGCTGCAGCTCTGCAGCATGGACGGTGGTGCCTGCGTCTCGGGCACGTGGCCTGACCAGCGGCTCGATGTCATCGCGGGAGGCAGCGTTGCGGAATCGACCCTAAAAGAAAGAAAACGGACAAGCCAAGGGAGGGATGGGAGGACGGCACGCCGCCACCACACAGGGATTTTAAGGAGAGGGGTGTGATGCGCTAGCCGTCGCCCACCCTTGGGCGTCCGCCTCTTCCTATCTCTCTTCACAGTCTCTCGCAGATTCTCGCTGCGACCTTCATGCCACCTCGCGGTCGCCCCCTTCTCGTCGTTCTTTCCCTTGTCTCTTCTTCTTCTGTCGCGTCGCTCTCCTCTGCTTCGTTCTGCGGCGCCGCCGCCTCCTGCCGGTCCCTTGCTCTCGGAATCGACCCTATCCAGTGCTCAAGTGCTCAATTATTTTCTCCAATTATTTTATTCTTCGAATCTCTTTTACGCTCCGACCGAGTCCCGGATGAGTCAAAGATTGGTGAGCCAGCCTTTCGCGCCGACGGATATGAGCCCTGGCATCGCAGCCCTCGATGTGCTAGTCGCAGGGAGCATCGCAGCCGGCGCCCAGGTGGCTGGGGCCTCAAGCTTGGCAACACCGCCTAGGCGCCTAGGCGTGTACAGGGTCCTTGAGCAAGTGATGAGTCCCCCGTCCCCGCCGCCGCCCTCGCCACCACTCCCGACGCCACCGCCGCCATCGCCGCTTGAGCCGTCACCGCCGCCACCATCACCACCGCCCTCGCCCCTCCCACCACATCCACCACCGCCTTCGCCACCACCCGCGTCTCCAATGCTCCCGGGGCAGTCGTCGCCTGCAGGTCCTCCACGAGCCCCAGTGATGCGACCCCGAGCACCTTTGTCGCCTCGGATACCTCGCAGTCCGCTGCCGCCGCCGACCACAGCATCCTGCACATGCGCTATCGACACGACGAAGTTCGCCTCATACAACAGCGGTGCGGCCTGCTTTGGGGCGAACGATATAACCAACCTTGAGGTCATGTTTGCCGGGTTGCGCATTCCTGACGCTGCCAAGGGCTTCTACGAGCGCTGCTCTGACTACGACGAGAGTGGCGCGTTCCAAGCCAATGACCTTACGAGCATGAAGATGTACTATGCTGGCATGATGGGTCTGCCAGCGTGGGCCAGTGTTGCGAGTGGTAGGCGGATGGAGGCAGCCAAGGCTCTGCCGGGCATTGCAGCTTCAGCGGCGATGGGAGGAATCCTGGGAGGATTCAGCTACGCATCGAGGTCTCTGCAAGACGCGCCCACGTTCACCGTGGAGGCGTTCACGGCCTCCGGAGGAAGCACCTTCCTCAAGGTTGCCGTCTCGACGCCCGAAGACGCGTCGTTCACCACGATGAAGTTCTCCGTCGCAACCGACGCCGTGGTCGACGCAGATCAGGCCACTGCGTACGGGTACATCGGCAGCGACAACCTGTTCCCGCTGCAGCCGGGCACCGGCACGTTCAAGGAAGGTCCCACGGGTTGGGCGGGCTACTCGGCAACGCTCAACTCCAGTCCAGACTCCCACTCAGGCTTCGTGCTCGTGCTCGCGACAGCGACGGCGAACCCTTCGCCCGCAGTGTTCTACATCCTCGTGAGCAAGGCACCGACGACGCTGCAGGCGACTATCGCCGACCCGATGGAGCTCGCCGACTCCCAGTCGCCGTCGGAGCTGTTTGCGACGCCGGTTCTGGTTTCTCCGTATGAGCCTCCGTCGGCCACGCCCCCTGCCGTGGATGGAGAGGAGTCGGCTCGACCTACGCCGGCCGCGCCCACGTTCACCGTGGAGGCGTTCACGGCCTCCGGAGGAAGCACCTTCCTCAAGGTTGCCGTCTCGACGCCCGAAGACGCGTCGTTCACCACGATGAAGTTCTCCGTCGCAACCGACGCCGTGGTCGACGCAGATCAGGCCACTGCGTACGGGTACATCGGCAGCGACAACCTGTTCCCGCTGCAGCCGGGCACCGGCACGTTCAAGGAAGGTCCCACGGGTTGGGCGGGCTACTCGGCAACGCTCAACTCCAGTCCAGACTCCCACTCAGGCTTCGTGCTCGTGCTCGCGACAGCGACGGCGAACCCTTCGCCCGCAGTGTTCTACATCCTCGTGAGCAAGGCACCGACGACGCTGCAGGCGACTATCGCCGACCCGATGGAGCTCGCTGACTCCCAGTCGCCGTCGGAGCTGTTTGCGACGCCGGTTCTGGTTTCTCCGTTTGGCTCCCCGGCGCCCTCCTCGCCCAGCAGAGATACTCATGACGCAGCCGCATCGGTCAGCTCACCGCCACCCCCCTCGCTGCCGCCGCCCTTGCCCCCGCCACCCTCACCTCCGCCGCCGACGCCGACCCCGTCGCCACCGCCACCGTCGGCCTCGCCCTCGCCACCGCCACCGTCGGCCTCGCCCTCGCCACCGCCACCGTCGGCCTCGCCCTCGCCACCGCCGGCCTCGCCCTCGCCGCCGCCACCGTCGGCCTCGGCCTCGCCCTCGCCACCGTCGGCCTCGCCCTCACCGCCACCGTCGGCCTCGCCCTCACCGCCACCGTCGGCCTCGCCTTCGCTACCGCCACCGTCGGCCTCGCCCTCGACGCCGCCCCCCTCCGCCACGCCCTCGACGCCGCCACCATCGGCCTCGCCCTCGAAGCCGCCACCGTCGGCCTCGCCCTCGCCACCGCCACCGTCGGCCTCGCCCTCGCCACCGCCACCGTCGGCCTCGCCCTCGCCACCGCCACCGTCGGCCTTGCCCTCGCCGCCGCCACCGTCGGCCTCGCCCTCGCCACCGCCACCGTCGGCCTCGCCCTCGCCACCGCCACCGTCGGCCTCGCCCTCGCCACCGCCACTGTCGGCCTCGCCCTCACCGCCACCGTCGGCCTCGCCCTCGCTACCGCCACCGTCGGCCTCGCCCTCGACGCCGCCCCCCTCCGCCACGCCCTCGACGCCGCCACCATCGGCCTCGCCCTCGAAGCCGCCACCGTCGGCCTCGCCCTCGCCACCGCCACCGTCGGCCTCGCCCTCGAAGCCGCCACCGTCGGCCTCGCCCTCGCCACCGCCACCGTCGGCCTCGCCCTCGCCACCGCCACCGTCGGCCTCACCCTCGCCACCGCCACCGTCGGCCTCGCCCTCGCCGCCGCCACCGTCGGCCTCGCCCTCGCCGCCGCCACCGTCCACGCCACCACCGCTCTCGCCCGGGCAGCTCAACCCGCCGTCCGGCCCACCGCCGCCGCCCTCTGCACCCCCGCCCGCCAAGCCACCTCCCTCAGCACCGCTGCCGTCACCGCCGCCCCCTGCCCACCCACCACCGCTTACACCGCCAGCGACACCGCCCCCCTCCGCCACACCCTCGCCGCCGCCACCGTCCACGCCACCACCGCTCTCGCCCGGGCAGCTCAACCCGCCGTCCAGCCCACCGCCGCCGCCCTCTGCACCCCCGCCCGCCAAGCCACCTCCCTCAGCACCGCTGCCGTCACCGCCGCCCCCTGCCCACCCACCACCTGCCGCACCGCCGCCTGCGCCTCCTTCATCCCGTCCGGGCCTGCCTCCTCCCTCGCCGCCACCGCCCTCAGCACCGCCACCGTCTGAGCAGAATGGGTCTGCGGCGCCACCCTCGCCGACGCCGTCGCCGCCCTACCCTCCAGCCGTGCCCGACTACCCTGAGTCGGCACTGATCCAGACCGTCTCCATCACCCTCAAGGTGCTCGAGTTGTGCAGCGAGGAGCTCACCGACGCGATTGCGGAGAGGGCGGCACGCAGCGTAAGTGTGCCTCTGAACAGGAGCACTGCAAGCTGCTCGTCGAGCCAGCGCCGGCGCCGGCGCCGGCTGCAGGCTACCTCCACCATCGCAATTGAGCTCACGACCACGAGTGCGAACCATCACGCCGTCTCTGCCGCCGCCGAGACCGCCTTTGCCTCATCGGAGGCGCGCACCTCCGCAGTGAGACGAAAGCGGCTCCAAACCACGGAACCCCCTATCCTCCTCAGCCCCCCCGCAAATCGGTCAGGCGGCGTCGAGCACCATTGGCCTGACCGTCGTCGGCGCGCCAGCCATCGACGTCGGCGGCGGCAGCAAGGGCGATCCGCATCTCCACTTTGCGCGCGGCGGCCGCGCAGACTTCCGGGGCGGGGATGGGAGGCTCTACGCTTTCTTCTCCGCACCGGGGCTGGCCGTCAACGTGCGGACCGAAGACGCCTCGTTCAGGCTGCACCGCGGCCGGCTGAGGGTAGAGGGTACCTTCATCACCGAGGTGCACCTGGTGGCGCGGGTTGGAGGCGCCAAGCGCAAGGCTGCGAGGGCGAGCTACTGGGCGTCCGAGCTGGACGACTTCAACACTGGGTGGCGCGTCATCAACGGCACGTGCGGCGGACACTACTTCAGAGTTGGCCTTGGGGGCAAGAGGGCGTGCGACGACCTCTCGATCCGCATGATCTGGTCGAGCGCGCTGTTCCGCGTGCGCGGCTGGACGCTGCGGGTGACCGGAGCCCACGTCTTCGACCGCGTCTCGGGCCCAACGCACTCGACCCTCGCGCTCCGGGCGCGGCCGGTTGGGACGCGCCCGCGACGCGTCCTCGGCATCCCTCTGTAGGCATCGGCTCGACCTCGCGCTCAGCGCGGCCGACGGCGCGCCCGCTCGCGACCTGCCCCACGGGGTGATTGGGCAGTCTTTCGCATTGGACCACCCGCGGCAGGGAAAGCGCGACGTGTACCCGCGGGAGGGGCGGTTTGTCACCACTGCCATGGCCGAGGGGGCGCTCGACGGGACGGCCGCTAGCTACGAGGTGGTGTCGCCGTTCGCCACCGCCTTCGCCTACACGAGATTCGATGCTCCTCAGCTCTCGCTCGCCGACGGGTCTGAATGGGCCCTCCCCTTGACGGGCGTCGCGGACGAGGCCGCGGCGAGCGATGAACTTCAATAATATGGTGCTGTGCTCTGACCTCTGTATTCTGTCCTCTGACAGAGCACAGAACTGACCCCTCTGAGAGCGGCCTCTCTCTGATAGCTCTGTACCTCTCCTTCCTTTACGGCACGACAGAGTCTCATTTCGACTAGTTGCAAAAAGTCTGTGGTGCAAAACCCGCCAAAAACTGCGAAAAATGCCGTCACGGCCAGCTCGGCACTATCTACTCAAAATTAAAAGTGACGTAGAGCGCCCACTTTTTAAGCGTTCCACGCACACACAAGGTCCGCCTGCGTGCGCCGCCAGCTTCCCAGGGCCATCGCGCGAAACACGACGGAGGAGATGCATCCTAGCTGTCGCCACCGAAGGCGACTCGGCGCCGCTGAGATCGGAGACCAAGCTCTGACAGGTCACACGTCGCTCCTTTGACGCCGACGTGACTCACCCGTGCAGAGCGCATCAGGACACGGTCTCGACGCGCTCGGTACGACGCCTGCGACCCGTCTCGGGTCAGGTGGCACGACGCTCATCGCGCCTGCCAGCGCTGCCGTGCAGGCTGCCACGACGAGGTCGAGCACGCTTCTATACGCTCGCCCAGCCTTCCTTTCCATCCCATTAGGCAGCCTGGGAACGGTGGCGGTCAGAGGCAAAGCCTGCGAGGGGTGGTGGAACCACATGCTGTCACGGCTACTGCCGGCTCGACCCCACGATAGCCTCCGAAGGCTGACTTTGAGGCACCATCATCGGACGATGTCGACGAGTTGGGTCGCTCTCGCGGTAGCCAGGTAGCCCCCGTACTAGTATCACCAGCCATGGCCTCAGGGAGCGCGGGCGAGGGCGCTGGGAGCAACACGGACAAAAAAACATCAAAGTTCATCATGTTCACACTCACACCACCGTATTTGCAATATTTTTAGAATCAGAGTCCACAGCTCCTAGGACGTAGGAGATCTCGCTCAACTATTTTTGATGTTGTAGCGTGTAGTAATTCAAAAAAATAAACCTCCCCGCGACGCCGCCAGAGCGCGACACCCACATCTCCGGACACACATAAGTGTGTTTGCGAACCCACGTACTGTCACGTACTGTACTCTCACGCCGTCTCGACCGCTCCTGGGGAGACGCCCCCCCACGCACAAAGATCATGGGCGACGCAGCGGTCTCATTCAGGCCGGCTCGGGCAGCAACGCCGAGCACACCAGGCACGTGATGCCGACGCCAAACAGGTCCATGATCACCTGGATAGGTAAGGTGAGGTAAGGTAAACTTCTCCACACACACACGGTGGTGGGGAAAGGGGGGGCGACCCTCGCGACTCCACGTCTACCACGTCTAGACGACAGGAGCCACCCGCATCAAAAGTGCAAGGCCCAGTGCGCGTGGGTGGGCGGTGTGTGGCGGAGTGTGAGTGCGTGTTGTGTGTGTGTGTGTGCTCACCTGGATAGTCGCGCCCGCGTGGGCCGGATCGATCGAGGCTCTGTGCAGCAGCAGTGGCAGCAGGGCACCGAGCACGATTGAGACGGCGACGATGGCTGCGAGCGAGGCGGCGATGGCGAGCGCGTCGTACAGAGGGTACCTACAGCGCGGGCGCCTCTCTTACTCTCCGCCTCGGAGTGGTGCCTCTGCTCTCACACACAGCAGAGCGCACACCCAAAGAGCAGCACCCTCGCGCACCCGCAGCAGGTGAGCACCAGCGCGATCTGCGCCGCGAGCCGCATCTCCGTCAGGAGGTAGGCGCCCTCCGACCCCACGTGGATCTCTCCCAGCGCGAGGCCTCGGATCACAAGCACCGCGGCCTGGTTTCCAGCATTGCCGCCTGCTCCCACGAGCATAGTCAAGAAGCTGACGATGACGGGGTGGCGTTGGAGCAGGCCCGAGTACGAGGTGAGGATGAATGAGGAGCAACTCTGGAAAAGCAGCAGCCCGACCAACATCCCAGCTCGCGGTCGCAGGGCCGTCTGCACGAGAGTCTCAGGCGCACCGCCGAGGTGCGGCCGGCGGACAGCTATTAGCGATGTTGATTCGTCGTCGTGTGGGTGAGGCTGCTTGGTTAGAGGCATCTGGCGGTAGGCGACAGCGGTGACAGCGTGGCCTCACAAGCGGTGTTTCTGCTCTCGATACGAAAGGCGACAGCGATGCTTGTGTTGCCCGACTTTGTAACAAGAGAAAGAATTTCCGGAGCGCCGCGGCGTCGGAGGACGCCGCCGTCGCCTAGACTCCCCTGCGTCACTACGTGCCTCCCCGTCTTTGTAGCCTGGCGTTTGTGCCCCGTTTGTGCCGCGTCCCGTGCCCCCGAGTTCATTTTACATACAAAGAATTTCCGAGGCGCGGCCCAGGGACGACGGCAACAACATACCTAAAACACAACAACCCAAGATTGGAAAAAGAAAAAACCTTCGGAGATGGCCGCCCAGAGCCTCGAGTGCCCCGTTTGCCTGGAGGCGACGGACGGGCCGCAGCACCAGTGCCGGGAGGGCCACGTCTTCTGCGCCTCCTGCGACTCCAACCTGCGAGCCCCGCGCCGCTGCCCCGAGTGCCGCATGGCTCTCGGACCACTGGGCCAGGCAATTCGATGCCGAAGCCACGAGGAGCGGATCGCGGCGCTGCCGGCGGCGTGTTCGCACTGCGGGCTGGCGACGACGCGCGGCGATGTCGCCGCCCACGAGCAAGGCTGCCCGCAGCGGCCGCGCGCGTGTGCCGCGGCGGAGGCTGGCTGCGCGTGGTCGGGGCTGCTGGCAGACAAGGCGGCGCACGAGGCGACGTGCCCCTTCGCGGTGTGCCAGCGCATGATGGCGCCGCTGGTGGCGGAACTGCGGGCGGAGAACAAGCGGGTGCAGGCCCAGTTGGCGCCGGTGCAAGCCCAGGTGGCGCCGCTGCAGACCGAGGTGGCGGAACTGCGGGCGGAGAATGAGCGGCTGCGGTCGCGCGTGGCGGCGCTCGAGGCTGGCGAGGGCGGCGAGGAGGGAGGGCGGTGGGTGCGGCAGCGCGTGGGCGCCGCGCCCGATGGCGCGCCGCCGAGCAATGCGGCGGTACAGGCGATGGACGTGGCGGCGGCGACGGCGGTGCTGCGGGCGCATGTGTCGGTTAGCCGCGTTGCTGCTGCGGCGTGCATGCGTTTGGCTAATCTGTGCATGGAGGATCAGAACGAGCAACTTGCGGCGGAGGCGGGCGCGATCGACGCGATTGTGGCGGCGATGCAGGCTCACCCGCAGGTGGTGGAGGTGCAGGTGGGAGGCTGCAGGGTGCTGCGCAACGTGTGCTCCGGCGACGACGCCGCGGCGCTCGCACGCAAGCAGCGCGCAGCAGACGCGGGCGCGATCGAGGCGATCGTGGCGGCGCTGCAGGCTCACCCGCAGGAGGCGGGCGTGCATGAGCAAGGCTGCCGGGCGCTGTGCAACGTGTGCTTCGGCACCGAAGCCGCAGGGGGCGCACGCAAGCAGCGCGCAGCAGCCGCGGGCGCGATCGAGGCGATCGTGGCGGCGCTGCAGGCTCACCCGCAGGTGGTGGAGGTGCAGGTGGGAGGCTGCAGGGTGCTGCGCAACGTGTGCTGCGGCACCGAAGCCGCAGGGGGCGCACGCAAGCAGCGCGTGGCAGACGCGGGCGCGATCGAGGCGATCGTGGCGGCGCTGCAGGCTCACCCGCAGGAGGCGGGCGTGCAAGAGCAAGGCTGCCGGGCGCTGCGCAACGTGTGCTCCGGCGACGACGCCGCAGGGCTCGCACGCAGGCAGCGCGCAGCAGCCGCGGGCGCGATCGAGGCGATCGTGGCGACGGTGCGCGCTCACCCGCAGGAGGCGGGCGTGCAAGAGCATGGCTGCCAGGCGCTGCGCACCGTGTGCTGCGGCACCGACGCCGCAGGGAGCGCACGCAAGCAGCGCGCAGCAGCCGCGGGCGCGATCGAGGCGGCTGCGGCGGCGATGCAGGCTCACCCACAGGTGGCGGGCGTGCAGGGGCAAGGACAGCGCTTGCGCGATCTGCTTGCCTGAGAGGGCCGTGCGATTGGCTGACTCTCTCAAAGCCGTTGTAGTCGAGAGAGTGGCGAGGCTTGTTTTGTTGTCGCGTCGGTGCGATTGCAAAAGAATTTTTGAACAAACTCCCTCGCGCAACACTGGCACGGGGACTGGCGCGCACTGGCACTAAAAGTAAAACATGCTAGAAAAATGGATTGCCAGGAACACGCCTGTGGCGCGCAGCGCAGTGTTGTGCAATCCAAAATGCAAAAAAAGAATAGTGCGTAATAGTGCTAAGTGGAAGAATGAAGGCGGTAAAAAAAAACCTGGTCGCTAAAAGAAAAAATCTGCTGCTTCTCCTCCACCTCCCTCTCCAGCGCCCCTGAACACCGCCTCCGCAATGCGCCTCACCGCGTTCTCAGTTCGCCGAGACGGGCGTCACACACTCACACGGGCGTCGCCGTGGCGGGCGTCCTGCAAAGCATCCAGCGCGCCAGCCGCTTCTGCACCGCCTCCTGCGCCTGGCCGCTAAGTCCGCTCCGCGCGCACTCGAGCGAGGCCACTCGATCCTCGCCTCGTCCTCCAGCTCCTGCTTCCTCGCAAACACCGGCGCATCTAAATCACGTCATCACGAGCTGCCAGCCTGAACTCTGATGCAAGCATCGCAAAGAGGTACTCGCTGCAAAGCTCCCCCTTCCAAAATGAGGATTCTCTCAGTAGAGCCTCCTGGCGCATCCCAACTGCTCGCAGCAGTGTGACAGCACGCTCATTGCGTTCATCTGTCGTGGCAGTGACTCGCCGCATGCCGCGGTCCAAGAATAGGTGGCGAAGAAGCCCAGCAAGGGCTTCCTGACCGTAACCCTGCCGCCGATGCTCAGCCATCAATGTGAAGCCAACCTCCGCTTGCGAGTCGTCTTCATCTATCGTTTCGCAGTATCTCGCGAATGCCGTCCGCGCTTGCTGGGGTGTTATTGCGTTCGGATCCGCCCTGGTCCCCGCCCTGTATCCCATCTCCTTGCGGTGGCTCTTGTATGAGTCCCCATATGACCATGTGATTTCTTGGCCTTCCTTGACTCCCCTCTCTGCAAACAGGACCATCACCTGCGCAGCTGCCTTGCCTAATTGTATCTCCTCGTAGCGTACGAAGTGCGTCGCCTTCGTGCCTCGTTTCGGCTCATTCGATGCTGCAGGCCAGTCGAAGTTACACCGCGCCGCGACGCTGTCAAAGTCGTCCCCGCTCTCGTCGTCACTTCCATCCAGCTGCGTCCCCCCTGCTGCCGTGTGTCGTGATAGTTCGTCTGGTACTGTCTCTGGTGGCTGCGCCGTTCCTGTCCGGAAGAATCTCCCCAGTGTAGATGCTACACACCTCAAATTTCTCTAGCCTCCTCGTCGCCAGTAGGCCGAGTTCCCCTTCCGCTATGCTAGAGGGGCCTACCTTCGCCCCTTCCACCGTGCCGCCCGTCGTTAGCATGGCCGTCGTTACTTTCGCCGCCGCCTCTGCTCCCTGTATATGCGCCGCCACTTCATAAAATCGCTGCCTGGCTGGGTCTACTGACGTACGAACGTACGAACGTACCGGAAAATCAAAACGGAGCGCGCTCCCTGTACACGGCGCGCTGCGCTGCCACACCGCACACGCTGCTCTCACTGGTGGCAAGCGGCGAGCGAGCGAGCAGGGCGTGGGGCGCTGCCCCTCACTCATGCCCGCTCAGCCACCTCCGCCCGGACCTTCTCGAGCTCCACGTCGCGCGCCGCCACCGTCACCTTGAGCACCGCCACCGTCCCCTTCAGCTCCGCCACCTGGTCGAGCGCGTCGCCGAGCAGCCCCTTGGCCACGCCAAAGTCGCGCAGCTGCTCCACGCCGCCGCTCGCCCGCACCTCGGCGGCGTGGTCGGCCACGAAGCGGCGGCACTGCGCGCGGAGCCGCCCGTCGCCCATCGTGTGCGCCGCCTCGAGCAGCGGCACGGCGGTCGCCGGCGCGACGCTCTCCTGCAGCGCCTGCGCGCAGAGCAGCTCGAGGCGCGGCACCTGGTACATCTGCGCCAGCTCCCGCAGGTCGAGCGCGCGCTGCGCCCTGCCCTCCTCTTCGCCGAGGTCGAACTGGTCGGTGAGGAGGTAGCGGACGAGGGCGGTGAAGCTGGCGAGGTCGGTGTGGGCCACCGTGACCTCGGCGGCGTCCCGCTCCCTCATGCCGATGCCGAACATGGTCCGGAAGACCGGGGACCGGGCGCAGAGGTTGGCCTTGGTGACGTGCTCGACGCGCTCCACGTCGTCGCCGACCAGGAAGGTGACCATGCCCTGCGGGAGGGTCTCGTCGCCCCACGTCTTCGCCATGTCGGCGGAGAAGGTGGAGGGCGGAACGACGATCGGGGCAAAGGAGGGAGGCGGAGGAGGCGCCGCCGCGCAGACCTGGCGGAGGCCACACATCGAACTGACCAACAGCGTGCTGCCGTCTGGGCTGATGGCGATGCCACATGGGTCGTAGAACTCAGCAGCGTCGCCAACGCCATCGGCGTTGCCCCTGGTGCCGCTGCCCGCGACCGTCGTCACCTCTCCCGTCGTCACCTCGACCCGCCGGATCTTGTCATTGCCGAGGTCCGCCACAAACAGCGCGCTGCCGTCCGTGCTGATGGCCATACCGTAGGGGTAGCAGAACCGCGCCGCGTCGCCCACGCCATCCGCGTCGCCATTCTCGCCGCTGCCCGCGAGCGTGGTCACCGCGCCAGTCGCCACCCCCACCAGCCGGATCTTGTCGTTGCCGTGGTCCACCACAAACAGCACGCTGCCGTCTGGGCTGATTGCGATGCCAGCTGGGCAGTAGAACTCCGCCGCGTCGCCCACGCCATCCGCGTCGCCTTCTTCGCCGCTGCCAGCGAGCGTGGTCACCTCTCCCGTCGCCACCTCCACCCGCCGGATCTCGTGGTTGAATTGGTCTGTCACAAACAGCGCGCTCCCGTCTGGGCTGATGGCGATGCCAGTTGGGGCGCAGAAATGCGCCGCGTCGCCCACGCCGTCCTCGTTGCCAGCCCCGCCGCCTCCAGCGAGCCTGGCAACCGCGCCAGTCGCCACCTCCACCCGCCGGATCTCGTGGTTCATGAAGTCCGCCACAAAAACCGCGCTCCCGTCCGGGCTGGCGGCAGCGGTGTAGCGTTCATTTGCCGGAAAGGCTGCTACGCGGCGCACGCGCCCGGCCGCCGAGACGTGCAGCAGCGAGTCCTTGGTCGAGACGTACCAGCCGCCAGCGTGGTCGCTCGCGACGCCAACCGGACCGAGCGATAGAGGCCCATCCTCGCCCTCGAGCGTGAGCGTGGTGACCTGGCCGAAGACGCGGGCGCCAAAGATGGGCGCCTCGAAGCCATCCGCGACCGGCGCGGGCGCCTCGACCTCCTCGCCGTCTCCACCGCCGGTGCGGGCGCGCTTGCGGGCGGCGGATGCCATTGTGAAAATAAAAAAAACGTGCGAGCTAGATTCGGGATCGGGGAGGGATGGGTTATTGCGCGCTCTTTTTCTTGCTGCACATGGCGGCCGCCCTCGACATCATCGTCGTGCGCCACCCAGATGGCACCCTCTGCTCCAGCGACTGGCGGGTGGTCTTTCGCAGCGCCGTGCCGGAGGTCCGTGTCTCCATCAACGGCACCGCTCTGTGTGTGTGTGTGTGTGTCCATCTCGATCGACAAGGCGTCGCTACGCGCGGTATTCCGCGGGGGCTTCGTCGACGGGTGCGGGATCGCGGCGCAGTCTGTGCCGTGGCGATGCCTCCGGCTGTTTGCGGCGGCGGCTTGCTGCTCGCTGCATGGCGAAAAACTCGTCTCGCCACACGCCAAGGGCTTATGCTCTGGCGAGACGTGAGGCGCATGCGCCCAGGAGGGGAGGGGGCATGCGTAACGACGCTGCTAGAGATGCGTTTCGGGGCCCAGAGATAAAACTTCTGATGCCATGCATGACCTAGTAGTGTCCCCAGCTAGGAGGGTTTTCGGAGCATCACCCCGCCTCTCTGTCAAAGTCAAGAAATGCTCGCCGTATGGTACCCCACCTTCACCCATCCCGTAATTTCTTTTTTAGTTTCCCATGAGTAAGGTAGGTAGGTAGGAAGGAAGGAAGGGGCACCCCCCCCCCGCAGGGGCCGGCCAGGTTTTTGCGGAATTTCATCATGAGGGCCGGCCAAGCAAAAATAAACTACACCTGTTTGCCGCAGAGGCCGTCTCTAGCTGTGAACAGCAAACCAGATTTCATAGATCTAAGAATTCTTATCGTGTGCGATGGAGTTTTTTTTTAGCAATACCAAACAACTCTAACACTCACTTGTCATTTGGGGCCTGGAGCCCTGTTCACGCGCGCGCGTGAGTGAGTTGTGTATCGCGCGCCTTGCGGGGGGGGCGCGGAAAAGAGGAACCTCTTAGCGCCATCGCCACGGTGCTGCATGCAGCGCCGGGCGACGACGGCTTACCGCCTCCCGGTCCCCCTCGGCACACCTCCGCTGCTCAATGTTTGACGGCTCGAACCCGTGAAGCTTCCCCGTGCGCGGGTTACCCCGCACACGGGTCAGCCTGCCAGCCACGTATCCACGCAAGCGTGGTCCGCGTGCATGGCATACAGGCGTTCGCCAGACAGCGCCAGAGGCTAGGCGACCGGGGAAGGACTAGCTCAAGGGCAACACAGCGTCACCAGCCGTTGGCGCGCAGAACGAGTCTGCGGCCCTCGGTTGGGACGAGTGCGCGACGCGGTTGAACCGCTCAATATGGCCGGCAGCTCGCGCTGCCGGCGGGGTTGGTTGGGGAGAACCGGCACGGGGAGGGCCGGCCTCCCCGGAGGGGTCGCCCCCTGGAGGGGCCCCAAAGGGCCCCCCGGGGGGGCGGGGGCCCCCGCCCCGAGGGGCGGGGGCGGGTCCTTCCGTGTTGCTCCCGTCGTCGGGATTGTCCGTCGGGATGGTGTTGTCCGCCCACTCGGTAGCGTTTGAGCCTCTGTCACCTTGCCTGCCGCGAGCAGCTAGCTCGTCGACGTAGTCGTTCCATTTGTTGCCGCTGTGACCCGCCACATGCCTCCACGTCACGGTGTGTTTGGCGCGAAGGCGTCGCCAGAGGGAACGAAGGCGCTCCGCTAGCTGTCTGTTCGTTTTGGGGTTTTTCGTAAAATTCTTATCGCGTGCCTTTTGTGGTGCTAGTTCGTGCCAGTCTGCTGTGAGAGGTGCTTGGCTCGTAGAATTCGTGAGCCGGTGTGTGTGCCAGTCCGCGCCAGTCCGCGCCCTTGTCGTGCCAGTGTGCTGTGAGAGAGGCTTGTCTCAGAAGAACTTATCGCGCGGCGCCTCTCAGTCAAAATGCTCGCCGCCTTGGAGTTGACGCTGGCGGCGCCGACCCCGGCCCTCAACTGCAACGCTGATCCCGGCCCAAGCTGCGGCGACCCGATCCTGCTCTGCTACGCCGACGATCGCTGCACCAGCACCGAGGACCCCACCTTTGGCCTCGGCTGCGCCGCGGCTGGCATCCAGCGCTGCCGCTTCTGCGTGGCCGGCTCGCGCCTACGAGAGGGGCAGAGGCCGCCCCGCGTCGCGATCGACCCGCGCGACCGCTTCCTACCCTGCCGCTACCCGTCGCCTCCGCCTCCGCCGCCGCCGCCGCCGCCCTCGCCGAGCCCGTCGCCGCCGCCGCCGCCGCCGGATCCTCCGGGCAGGCCGCCACCGCCGAGTCCGTCGCCGCCGCCGCCGCGGCCGCACCCGCCGCCGTGGGCGCCCCTGCCCCTCTTCGTCGCCACGGGCGCGCCTCCCGGCGCAGCCGAAGGCGCGGTCACAGCCTCCCTGCTCGGCCGGCTACTGCTCGCACTGCTCCTCCCGGCCGGCCTGGTCTTTGCGGCGGTGCAGCTGGCGACTGGGCGCGCGGGCAGGCTGCAGACTCTGCTCGGCGGCGTCTCCCTCAGCTCCTTTGCCAGGCGCCTCCCTCCCTCCCTTCCCCCGTCTCTCTCTCTCTCTCTCTCTCTCTCTCTCTCTCTCTCTCTCTGTCTCGCTCTCGCTCGCTCTCTCTTCTCTCTCTCCCTCTCGCTCTCCCTCTCCCTCCACCTCTGTCTCCCTCTCCCTCCCTCTCCCTCTCCCTCTGCCTCACCCCCTCACC